CATCAGGTGGCCAAAGTATTGGAGTTTCAGCTTCAGCATCAGTCCTTCCAATGAACACCCAGGACTGATTTCCTTTAGGATGGACTGGTTGGATCTCCTTGCAGTCCAAGGGACTCAAGAGTCTTCTCCAACACCACAGTTCAAAAGCATCAATTCTTCGGCTCTCAGCTTTCTTTATAGTCCAACTTTCTGTTTAACATCAGTGATTTCCAATACCCTGTCTTCCAGGTTGCTGATCCATTCCTCTGTATTATTTAGTCTACTGTTGATTTCTTCTAGTGTATTTTTCACTTCAGTTTTTATATTCTTCATCTTTGGTTGTTATCTGTATTTTCTAACTCTGCTGTTAAATACTTCTAGTTCTGTACTAAGGAATTCCATTCTTTACCAAGTTCTTTGAGCATTTTTAAAATCATTCATCCTGAGTTCTTTCCAGGTCGATTGCCTATCTCCACTTCTTCTTCTGGTGTTTTATCTTGTTCCTTCATTTGGAACATGTTCCTCTGTCACTTTATTTTGCCTGACTTGATGTTTTATTTCTGTGTATTTGGTAGGTTGCTTATATTTCCCAACAGTAGCTTCTTGTAGGAGACACAGCTATGAGTCCCAGCAGTCTTCTCCCCTCTTGTCACAAGAGGTAAATGCTCTGGTGGTACCTCGATGTGGGCTGCTAGGGTCCTTCTGTTGTGTCAGGCTGACTACTGTGGGCAGTCTGCTAGGCTTGGTTAGTCCCTGGTCCATCTGGTGGCCGGGCCCTGCCTTGTGTGGAGGCTGCTGACCATTGGTTGTTGAGACCAGGTCATGAGGTAAGCTGGCTGCAGAAGCTCACTCACCAGTGCAGTGGGCTGGGTCAGGTTCCAGGAGACCCTAGGGTTGGTTACTGCCCACTGGTGGGTGAGGCCATGTCTTGGGGCTGATGCTAACCTTTTCATAGGCATAACCACATCCCGAGGTCCACTTGCAGGGCCCGTGGAGTCCCAGAGCTGTTACTGGATAGCACTGGTTACTGATGCCCCTCTAATGTGTTCTGTGTGGGCCTGCTGGTGGGCGAGGCCAAGGCCCCCCAGTCCCAGGGCTCGTGCTGGACTGTTGGTGGGTGGGCTGGGCTCATCAACTGTGGGGGTTCAGTTGTCCTGGGGTTAGGATTAGCCCTCTGGCCTCTGAGGCTTGGTTCCAAGGCAGGCTCACTGGTGGGCAGGACCAGGTGCCTGCTCATTGGTATTGGTGACTGAGGGCTGGTGGGTAGGGGCAGGGCTGGGTCCTGAGGCTTATGAGCTAGAGGGAAGGTTCCAAGTGGGCACTTGGCCAGCAGCAGTGTCCATGGGGTAGAAATGAACTCCCTAGAATGGCTTCTGCCAGTGCCTAGGTCCCTAGGGCGAGTTCCAGTTGCCTCCTCCCTCTCCAGGGAACTCTCCCAAGATCCCCATGTAGGTCTGACCCAGGCTCCTTTCAAACCCTGCTTCTGCACCGGGTCCCGAGTGTATGAGAGTTTGTGCACACCCTCCAACAGTGGGGTCATTTTTATGTTTCTCTACCTTGGAGACTGTCTCTGCTGGCCCTCCTGGGTGTCCCCAGTGTGCTCTCCTCTCATCACCCAAAGGCTAGGGGCCAGCTGGTCCCAGGAAACTGTCTGCCCTGCATGCGCGGACTCAGCCTGCAGGCTTTGGGACTTTAGCTTTCTTACTTCCGCTATCTGTGTCCGGTAGTTAAGGCTGGTCTAGAGGCTTGTGCTTATTTAACTTGTATGCAGAGTACATCATGAGAAAGGCTGGGCTGGAGGAAGCACAAGCTGGAATCAAGACTGCCAGGAGAAATATCAATAACCTCGGATATGCAGATGACATCACCCTTATGGCAGAAAGTGAAGAAGAACTAAAGAGCCTCTTGATGAAAGTGAGAGAGGAGAGTGAAAAAGTTGGATTAAAGCTCAACATTCAGAAAACTATGATCATGCCATCCGGTCCCATCAAGTCATGGCAGATAGATGGGGAAACAGTGGAAACAGTGGCTGACTTTATTTTTCTGGGCTCCAAAATCACTGCAGATGGTAATTG